ACCACTGGATTGCTGTAATTTACAATTTACAGACAAGCTGTTGACATGAGACAGATTTAAAAGAAAAATCAAAGTTGACAAATTCCAACTCTGTGGCCAGAGAGCCTAGATAAGCTCATCTCTGGAGTCCTTCTGCCTTGACTGTTCCTGAGTAGCAAAGATTGTTAATTCTGCTACTGCAGAATCCCTGTGGACATCAACACCAGTGCTCCCGGCCCTCACACTATGAGCATCATGGTCTGGGGTGTTCAATTAGCCCTTATAATGGACTACCTTACTCTCCAATCAGCTCTTACGCAAGCCTTTCATCCCCAGAGGGATTTTAAGGCAGGAAGAGCATCTGTTTCAGCCTCCATGGTGCTTAGGGCATGACAGGTCTACAATAAATGGAGGCTGTTAACAGGCATATGAGTAATTGGGGAAGAAGAAAGGGAAGGGCTGGCATTCTTGTTTCCAGGCTCTGTGTGAAGCTGTCCACACTTACTGTCTCACCCTATGAGACCCCTATCATCTTATCCCTGCTTTTCAGATAAGGAAATTGAGCCTCAGGCTTTGCAGAGCAGGCCTAAAATGAGAGAGATAGGAAGTGTGTGTGTGTGTGTGTGTGTGTGTGTGTATACAGGGAGGGGAGCTGGGGTGTGAATCTGGGTTCAGCTTCTCTTTCTAGTATAGCCTAAGTTTTCTAGAATGAACGCCCCAAGGCTTTGTGAAAAGTAATCTGAAAAGTAAAGAATGGTACATCTTGCAGCCACTTTTTCTCACTGATTGCTGGGGTCTTAAATGAATGCCAGCTACATTCTATGTCTCTTCTGCCTGCGTTTTGGGGCTCCCACATTCTTCCTCACAGCAAGGCAAAAGCTGGGCACATGTGCACAAGTTGAACCAGGAGCCTGCGCTCCAGGGGCTCATGGTCTGGTAAAAGCTGTGATGGCCACAAGAAAAGTTGGAACAACAAAGTTTTAGAGTGCTTTTGTGCAAAAGACCACACAGATACATACACAAATACATATAGAAAACAGTGGGATACTTCTTGGTGGTGGGCTGGGAAGCTGTTGTACCTTCTTTCTCCCTGTGTATCTTTTCTAACTTAAAGTGCATTCTTCTAGAATCAGAGAAAAAACCCCGCAATCCGATAAGGTTATTTGGAAGAGGAAGAAGAGATGTAAGAAAATAGGAAATTTTCACAGATGAAGCCAGAGCTGAGCCAAACCTTGAAGGGTAAAAGGACTGTGACATGGAGGTGATGGGAGGAACCGTGGGACAGAGGAAGACACAGTGCATGGAGCCGGGCAGTGTGTACATGTAGGAAGAACACAGGCTCTACAGTTTGAATCCAAAGGCTTTGCTGCTCACTGGCCATGAAATCTGAGGCAAGCCTTTGCCTTAGAGGAGTTTCTATTTCCTTATCCATCAAGTGGGGGGGGGGGGAAGAAACCTCACAATGACAGTAGGAGTGCGAGAACTGTGGGGAATAGTGCTTTCAGACCAGTGCTTGGTCCTCAACGAGCAGAGGGGACTCAAATGCCGCCAGCACTCACTTAAGACCTAGCAGTGAATGAAAGGGAAGAAGGACTTTGGGAAGAGTAGGTTAGGCCTTATCCATTTCCACGGTCCATTCTTCCTGCCAGACAGGGTTGTCACTGTCCTTGAAACTTAACCCTTCACCCTCAACACTCTGTTCAATTGGTGCTACTGGGTCCCAAGGCTGAATCTCCAAGGAAGAAAAGGCAGGGCTTTTATTTTCATTGTCCAAGTGAGGAAACTGAGTCTCAAAGAGGTGAAGTAAAGATCACAGGGCTGGTGAGTAGCAATCAAGGTCACAACCAGAGGCCTCCTGGTTCCAAGCCTGGCTTGTCACTTCCACACCTCTTTCCACACCTGCCTCTTCCAGGAAACCCAGGGGCACCTGTGCCCCTGATCCCAACTCCTGGAAAGGTCCAGGAACTATACAGCAGGTCAGACTGTAGGGCAGCCCTGAGGAGAACCTTTCTTCTTACCTTCTGAGGAATCAGGGACCTGGGCAGGCGGCCTTCTCACCAGCCACTCAAGACAACAGGTTCTGAGGCAGGCCCAGGGCAAGGAGCACCCAGGCCTCCTGAGGGGGCACAGACAGACCTAATGTGTGTCATATGTGGAAGCCTCAGTAGGTGGTGGCAGGGGCCTCAGGAATCCTCAGTGAGACTCTGTGTGCAGTTCCTCATCTGGAGGTGAGACTGTCCTCCCCACTCCAGTACTTTCCTCCAGGCCCTGCTTCCTGCTGGGTCCTTAGGGACATTTAAAATCATTCTACTGTGGATATTTCTGATCCTATTCTTTATTTCCTGGGAAAGAATTCCACCTGAGTGTATCTGCCAATATTGACTTTTTATTAAAATGTTTTCCATTTAAAAATTACAGAGGAAATTTGCAAATTCCCAGGTTGACAGTTCATTGACGCAGAAAGCCAGACAGGGGTTGATGACTCTTACTAATGTGAATGCTCAGAGTCCAAGCATCTTGGCTCCAGATCTCTGGAGCCAGGCTGCTGATAAGCAGGGTCTGCTCAGCATTGCCACAGGAGCTCTCCAGCTCAGTCAGCAGGACCTTGGCTGATGAACCTTCTGTGCCCTCCCTGGGCTCTGTTTGCACATCCCTGTACATAGAGGCCTTGTCAGCCCCCTGAGAGCAGGGACCCATTTTTTTCCCTTTATACCCACCTACACAGAACAGTTAGAAAATACATATCTTGCACTGGGCACATGGAATACAACATGAAACCTCAAGGAACCCAGTGGCATTGGGGAGATAGATGCATTAGCAAATTACCACAAGACAGCTGAGGCACTACTAGGAAGCATTCATTTCAAATGTTGATGGAAAAGTTTGGAATTGGGGTTACAGGAAATCTTGGGCAGAGCATGTGGGAAAGATACATCAAGATGCACTTATAGGGGCTGGGTTGTAGCTCAGTGGTAGAGTGTTTGCCTAGCATGGGTGAAGCACTGGATTCAATCCTCAGCATCACATAAAAATAAATACATAAAATAAAGATATTGTGTCCATCCACAACTAAAAAATTTTTCTAAAAAAGAAACTAACCAAAAATTTTTAAAAAAGATGTACTTATAATGACAGTCTTTTGAAAGCCACATGTTTTCCTGATCTATTAATTTAGTAAGTGAATTAATTTTGCAAAGGCACTCTGGGTTCAGAGAGACAAATAAGATATGGTCCCTGTCCCTAGGGAGCTCACTACCATCTCTCCCGGGAGACAGGCTAGAGTACATTAAAGAGCAGTAGGGGAATTTTGTTCTTGGCAGAGGTACATTGTTGAGTAATAATGTTTATAATAATATTTATAGGGCACTTGCTACAAGCTAGGTTAATCCTCACATCAACTGCATGGGTAAAAAGGGGAAACTGGAACAGAAAGCTTATGGAATTTTCCAAAGCACAGAGACCAAATTTGAACCCTGGAAGCTTGGCTCCACAGTCTTTGCTCAGCCATACTTAGTTCATTTGGTCCTTGGGGGAATAAATGAACAGTTGTACCAATAAACCAAGGCTCATGTCCCCAGAGCATTCTCCACACTGCGCCTTTTAATCCCCCAACTTCCTGCCTTGTGTCTCCTGGAACTCTTACTGGCTGCCTGGTCATCAGGGCTTGGCCCTGGTATGGATGGAAACATTGGAGCAGGTTGGCATCACTCTTGTCTCTGGCTGCACATGGGCAGACTCCCAGGAGGGGCTGCCAGGTCAAAAGCTATTTTGCTGTTGGCTCATTTTACAAGCACATCATCTTTGTAAAGACCTGAGACCCAATATCTAGAGCATGGAGCTCTTGCAAGTAGTGGAGGAGCACCTGGCCTCTAGCCCCACATTCAATTCATATACAGGACAGATGGTCCCGACAGAGCTATGTGTGCCCAGGATTTTGTTGGAGAAATAGAAGAGAAGCCGATTGAGTTGTGTCTGCTTAGACTTTTTCTTTTAGCCACTTTAACAAGCTCCTACTTGGAAACTTCCTGGAATCAATCCCTGACCTCCCCCCACCCACGCCCCCCCATCCACCATCCTTTATCCATAGCATGTTTCTTCTACGGCTTTGGGACTAAATCTTATATCCCAGGCCTGTTACATCTGAGCAAAGCCAAATTCACTCCTTTAGTCCCATCTCACTGTACCCTACACCCCCAGTACTCCAAGAACACAGAACTATTTTCTTTCATATCGGCAAGCTTTTGACTATGTCCTTACGCCTGCTTGAAACATCTTTTTCGGCCACCCCCGCTTTCTCCATCGGTGGCACCCATACTCATCCCTGAGGCTTGCACACCACATCCACGGTCAGCTTTCCCTCCTTGACTGCAGAGATCGCTGCTGTTGCTCCAGGCTGTAGCATCACACTAATCTTATCATTTCCTCTCCTTTAAGAGTAGGGGCCACGTCTTAACATTGCATTCCTGTTGTCACAGGGTCTGGCACACAATAGGTGCTCAGTAAATGTTGAGTGAGTGAATACATCAATGTAGAGAAACCAGAGCATGAATGGAATCCAGAACAAGTTCTCGTAACTTCCTAGGGTTGGTTGCAAGTTAACCTGATATCCCTTGCTCTGCTTGTGGAAGAGAGCAAGGTGGATTCTAGAGAAATAAGAATCTTTGCATTGCAGCCTGTCTCCGGGAACAGAGTCAGGATCTGGGCCTGGACTGTCCAATGGGGAAAGGATGTATTGATGAGGATAGAATTCTGAAAACCCCATGCAGCGGCTCTGATGAAGAGGCCACATAGGCTGCTAGCCTTTGGTCAGTCAGGCAAGCTATTATTTTTTTACGATTCTCTAGTGCCCCCCCCCCCCGCCTTTTTCTCAGTGCACAGTAGAAAGCCCATATAATTGAACATCTAGCTTCTAATCCTACTTCTGTTATTTTAGCACTGGGTGGCCTCGGGCAACTGGCTTTACTTAGGTTTCCTAAGCAACCTCACAGGGCTTGGTGAAGACTGTCTGAGGCAATGAAATGCTTTGCATAGTCCTGGCACATGACAGGTGTCCAGTGTTCCCTGCCCTGAAGAGGCCCCTTGTCTCGCCGAGGCTGGGGCACGGGTTTCCAAGAGAGAAGAACAGCAGTTAGACTCTGGAGATTAGCACATCTTGAAGAACAGCTGGAGTCTGAAGCAGGGCTGAACTCCTGGTAAGTATGCCTGCTGCCTCTGCAGGGGACAAGGAGAGGCACTGAAGTTGGCTTGAGGGCAGGTAGGGGAGAAAAGGATGGAGAGGAGGCAAAGAAGAGGAGGAAAGGGACCTGGCTCAGAGAGGCTTTGATTTGCCTGTTGAGCAGGATACAGACTGACTTCTATGTGTTTGAAGAATAAACCCTGAGACTAAAATCCAGGAGGCTCCAACCCAAGGGAAAGAACCCTGGAACAGGGCCGCTGCTCCACATGCTGATGTAAGTGCCCCAACTTCTCTGAGCCTTAGCTCCTGCTTCTGTGAAATGGAACAGGAACACCCACCTCCTAGGCTTAGTGGGAGGCTTGAATGAGATCATGCTTGCTATGCCCTTAGCAAAGGGCCTGGTCCACAGCAAGTCCCAAGTAAAGACTGGTGGCTTTCTTACGCTCATAGTTCACTGGGGACTCCTGTCTTATTGCCGACACAGTGTTAGGCAAAGGCAAGGGGTCCTCACTCCAAAGCCTTGAAGGGCAGTCAGTAACAAAGGACTGACTGGCAAAGCAGCCTTAAATCCAATGTCTGGATCTTCCCAGTCAGGCAGAGAAATCTTGCCAGTAAGACAAAAAATAGAGGGAGAGATGCCTCTACCCCAAACACATTCTCATCTCAAAGGAATTACGGTTCAAGAGACTGACTAAAGTCATGGGAAATCCCAGGAGTTCATCTGCCAACCCATGTCACACAGAAGAGGCAAATTTGCCATGTTGGGCACATACTTCAGGGACTTGTTGGAAAAGCAGAAAAAGAGAGCACATGTTGGTGTTTAGACATTGGGCTCAAGGTCTTAGACTTGGCTCAGTTCTGCACTCATGCTTATGAAAACCTGACATCTTAAATAATTTCCCCCCTAAAAGTGATTGGTAGGAAAACTTGTTCTTCTGCTCAACTGGCTGCAAACTTTATTCCTGAATGAGGACTACAAACCCCAACTGGGTTCCTCTTTCCCGTGGCTACAGGAGGGCTGGCCTTGTGCTGACTGCAGGAGCTATCCTCTCCTCAGCTTCTAAATATTTTACACCCTCTTTGTTTCCCAGCTCTTCCTTCTTATCTTTTTAGAAGGTTCCATTTTATATGCATCTTTTAAAAAAATTTTAAATGTAAATATATATATATATATACATATATATATATATTAATTGGAAACAATACTTTTGTTTTATTTATTTTTATGTGGTGCTGAGGATCGAACCCAGGGCCTTATATGTGCTAGACAAGTGCTCTACTGCTGAGCCACAACCCAGCCCTATATGCATCTTTTATTAAGAGTTTTAAGAGCTTTTTGGAAGTAGGTGGATATAAATAATAGATCTATGACTCAGCCTGGGATTCTTTCTCTTTAATTAAGAGAGTGATCTTTGCCCAGAAACCACCATTTGTCTGGGTTATCCCTGAGTCCTCAACACACCCACTGAATGTCCTGTGTCAACTTTGCTGATGACCAAGTTGGAAACCAATGTTGGCATTGCAAATTCCCACACTGGGAGGTAATTCAGTTGAGTGAACTTGAGATTTAGAGTTAAACAGAACCGAGTTTGAACTGCAGTTGTGCCACTTAGTAACTGTGTGAATTAGGGCAAATAATTTAACTCTCATCTATAAAATGAGAATTGGCAACAGTAATTACCTTGCTAGTTATCTTAAGGATTAAGTGAAATAATACATACAAAGGACTTAGCAAAAAACCCAGTAAGGGTGAATGAACACTAATGATGGTGACGACAGTAACAATTAGCAGCATTTATTGAGTATTCACTGACTGCATACAGAGTACTCAATAAATACATGATACGTCCTCCATGGAGAAGAAGAATGGTTGAAAGGAGGACTCCCCACTAATTGGGCCTGGAGGAGGCACTTATTACCTGTTCCAGAAGACAGCTCCTGAGATCTTCTGCATCTCTCCCAGTGCGGCTAGGAGGAGCGAGGACTTGCCGCAGCCCACCTGCCCCACGATCATGGTCAGCTGGCCTGCAGGGAAGGAGGACGGCAATGGGAGGGAAGCCAGGGACGGCCTGAGCAACCATCAATCAGAAGGACGTTCAGACAGATATGCTCAGTCATGGAGCACTCTTTATCTTTCCTCCTACCTAAAATCCCTAAGAAATTCTCTCTCGCTTTGAGTCTTTCCTTCTGGAAATCGACATCATCCTCTGGCTTCCCAGGCTCTTCCTCTACTCTCACCCCCTAGCCCCCATCCCTGATCCTCCCTTGTGCTTCCCTGTGTGAGCCCAGCTCCTTGTGATTCCAAAGGGTGCCAACTGGGTCCCACCCCAACCCACCTCCACACTTTGCTCAAGGCACTGCCTCTGTCAAGATGTCCTCCCTACCTTTTCCACATGCCTTCCTTGGCTACTCAAGACTGATCATTCTGTGAAGAATCACCTATTCTGTTTGCAATGGTGGTCTGGTATTAGGGCCCTACTGTCTCACTCTGCCCTTGCTGCTGCACATCTGGGCAGCATACAGATGCCTTGAGGACATGGCCCACCCCTCTCTAGTGTTCAGAGCCCAGAACACCCAGCAAGAGTGAGCCAAGGGCAGGTACTCAGCAAATACTGATTTGGCTTTTTCTTTGTATATGGGGCAAGCTGAGGGGCCATCTGGAGCAGGTAGCCAGGCCATACCTCGGGGGATTCGGATGGTAATGTTGGACAGTGTGGGGATTCCATCCGGGGTCCAGGTGAAGAAGCCTCCGATAATCTTTATTGGCCACACCCACCATGCAGAAGAGGACAGAAAGGCAAGGGGTTCTCAAAGTGAATAGTCATTCCTCCCACCCTGCAAAAGCCAAAAGATACTGACTCCAACCTCCTGAGCACTTCCAGGGCAGAAGAATGGGGAATTGGCTTTCTCATGCTGGCCCCCTGCCCCAGGCACCCTCCTGGGAGAAAGCGGGACTCCCTACTGAGTGGAGACAGAAGCAATGTCCCTAGTTTTAGATTCCTACAGGCAGGAATGATGACCTCTGGGTAGACCTCTGTGTTCCATCTCTGGCTTTTCAGATGCTGGGCTTCCCCGGGGAGATGGTGCTGGGCAGCTGGGCAGCTGGGCATAGGGACACACGGTCTAGGACTCACCTGGACACAACAGTTGTCAGTATCCCCGTCTACACTGGGGGCCAGTCTTTGCAGAGGGCCCATGAGGTCCCGATTATCCTCCCGGGCAGGACGCTTACGGTTCACAACCTTGAGGGGCTGGGGATGATGGTTAGAAGGTGAGGACCCACAGGGTTGGGGGTCTCTCTTCCTGGGAGGAAAGGTAGAGGCGCCACATGGCAGGGCAGAGCTTCAGGCCTTAGAAAGCAATCGCTGGGAGTAGCAGGGGGAGGCTGGGCACTCACCACCGCCTGGTACTTGCTGGCTTGGCCCTGAGGTGCGGGCTCGCGGGGGGCACACTGCTCCTCGCGGATCTCTGCACTGGACAGGAACTCACTCAGCTTTTGTACACTGCAGAAGAAGCACAAAGACACCCCTCACCCCTGCCAGAGGCAGAGGAGGGGAGAGGGAGGGTGTGGCCTGAGAGAGCAGCTCTGAGAAAGTTCCTGGTCCTGAGGGTGGCCCCCCCAAAGCCCACACTGGAGAGGGACAGATCAGTGTTTACCCCCAATGGAGATGGTACTAGATATTACCAGGAAATTTTACTTTAATTTTTTCAGGGATTTTCAGAGTTAGCTGGAGTGGGCTGGGGTCTGGATTAGAGGTTGGAATGGATAGTTTTTAAGGTTAGTTGAATGTTCAAGGTGGATAGCTTGGATTATTAAATTGCAGGATGATTGGCGTTCTAGTTACTGCTAGAGTTAAGGCTGGTCAGTGTTTAGGGCAGTTAGGATTAGGACTGGTTATTAACAATAGGTAATATTTTGTGAGCACATATGCTCATATAAGGCACATACATGCCAGACACTGTTAATTGCTTTATAAGCATTACAGGATTGAATCCCCATAACAAGCTTCTGGGAAGGGGTTACTGCTCTTGGAGAATGCTCCTCCTGCCTCTTTACCCTTAGAATTTCCCTATGGACTTGGAGGAGGCACCTGAGGCTTCCCTAGTTCGGTTCATTCTCTCCCATCCTGAGGGTGTGGAAGCTCTATGGGAATGTCGAGAATGGTTTATATTCCTTTTCCTCCCTTTTGGTAAATGTCCAACAAGCTGGGTCCAGATAAGTCTCACTGAAAGAGCCTTAGCTACCCTGGTGTTTTGTCTCTGCAAATAGTAGGATTAGAGCGTTTGGAAATGTGATGTTTTGGGATCAGCAACGAGGATCCTGTCATCCTTGCATTTGTGGTTTCCACACAGAATCACAGGGTTGGAGAGGGGTCAGGGGAGGGGTGGTCATTAGAAATCTCAATGCCAATGAAAGGAGGCAGCATAGATGCTAATTCCTGTTCAGCCAGCTACTCTTTCGACAGAGTTATTTCCCCTTTCATCTTTGAATCTCTGCTGGAGCTTCCTTGTGAAAACTGCTCCTGTATTAGCTACTTCATTCCAACAACTACTTCTTCCTGCAGATCTCTGAAGCACCCACAAATCAAGGGTATTGCCTTCCTTGAGGCTGAAGACACAGAGGATATTTGCAATGTGTAGTCCCACTAGTGACAGGTGAGGACATGGCTAGCTCTTTAGAGAGGCAGGATAGGCTCTTGCTTTCAAGGAAATGATTCAGAGGCCCAAGGAGATCTTCACACCCAAAGTATGGTGTTTCCCAGCTGAGCCTCAGCCTCTACCTTCAGGTTCTTGTTCCCAAGAGGGGGATTCTTCTCAGATTGGCAGTGTCGCTGCTGGGCTCTAGAGCCCAGAGCTGTAGGCCAATCATGGTGTGACTGCCAGAGCTTGGGGAAAGCTGCTGCTGGAAAGGCAGCACAGATGATCCTCAGAAAAACGGCGGCTGCTCAGCCTGGGTAAGACAATCTTTCAATGGCTACCTTCTGACACTTCAAGGGATGTCACGTGGGGTTGGTGCTGCTCATTCTGGGTGAATCTGGAGGGTGGAACTAGGACTAGTGATTAGAATTTATGCAATTTCAGCACCTTAATTTTTTTTCTTTTTGCAGAGTTGTCTTGGAGGTGACAGTGAGTCCCCTTTCCTTGGAGGATATAAACAAGTCCTTCTCCAATGTTGGCATGTTGGGAAAGGCTCACATGGCCTATGTCCCTCTGACCAGCCATAATCAGCATCAGGAAGGCCAGGTCAACAGGGAGGTGAGTCCTGGGACAAAGAACTCTGGTTCCAGCTGTTGCTAGAGCAAGCCCTGGTGCTGATACCCAAGCTTCTCGTCCAGCACCCTTCCCCAGACCCTCCTCTCACCTCACTAGAGCTTTGACCGTAGAGCGGACCACACTGGATAGCAGGAACAGCGGTGTGACCAGGATATGGAAGAGGGAGAGGGAGGCAAAGGCCACTGAGGGCGAGAAGTCAGACTCTTTGAAAAAGCTGACGTGGCCCACAAAGGTCTGTGGACAGAGACACAAGTGAGGCCAGGGTGGCTGAGGGCATGGGCCCCCTTCCTCACTGTAGCACCCAGACCTAGAAAGGGAACTCTAAGACTGGCAGGGAGGGGGCATATAAGGGACCTTTTGGTTAGAGACATTCATCACCCTCACAGTCATCTCATGAAAATGTCCCCAGCAAGTTTAGGACTTCATGCTGGAAAACAGGGGTTGCTCCCTGGTGATCCCTCCTGATCCTGCCCCTCCTTGCCATGAATGAACAGGGAGAAGCCCTGGGGTTGGTTAGGTCAGTGCTATAGATAGCTCATTTTCCTAGTCTTTAGTCAATTAAAATGCAAAAACTCTCATTGCAAAGCCACCTCCTCACTGGGCCTACCCAGCTACTTGACTGGCTCAGCAGTCTGTTACCCACAGGTCCCAAAGAGCTAAGCCAGGAACCGGCCCAATAAATCACATTGAAAGTGAATTCCCAAGCATGCCTGACAGACTGTGAACTCAACACAGCTCAGGGACACTGGCCCCAGGGGAAATAAATACGTCTTTTTAAAGAACTGCAGCCCTTATAGTGGCAGGGGATGGGAGGCCGGAGAGGGGCTGCAGGCTCGTGGGGCCCAGACCTTTCTGCAAGTGCACACTGCCTGTCCCCATTGCCAAGCTACACACAGCTTTTGTCAAAATCACTTTAGAAAACCACCATTGTGATATATCATGACGTGGGGACTTGCGGGTGGCATGTTCTTAAATATAAAAAAGCAGGTTACACAACTGCCTGTGCCACACAATCCTATTTTTGTAGAAATGACATATCATATGCCTTAAAAAAAGACTGGAAAGAAACACCCTAAAGATGGTAGCAATGGGATTATGGGGCACTTTAATTCTTTTTTTTTGTTTTTCTTTCCGAATTTTCCATCATTTCCACAATAAATGTTTCACTTTTAATAATTAAAAATATTGATAGCTATTTTAAAAATGAACTTTAATTTCTCTAAATCCTAATTCTTAGATCTTTGCCTTGAGGCAAAAGCCCTGCTGGGGTCAGTTATGGGAGGGATCCATCCCTCTAATTCAGCCCTGACACTGAGCCCCTCTTCTAAGGTCTCTGTGTGGAAAGGCCAAATCTGGATGGCTCCCACTACAGATCTCCTCCCCACCATGCCACCCCTGGAGATGGAGAAAAGATCCACTTACAATAAGGACGGCTGCGATGGGGATGGCCGTGTTCATGAAAACTGCAGAGGAAGAACAAGGGTGAGTTTAGTGGGAGGAATGAGACAGCAGGACATTAAGATACCCAGGATAGTGGGGGCACTGCAGCCCCATGGGGTCCTCTCCCCAGCCTGAAGGAGGGGCTGGGATGAGGGGAGGGACAGAACTCCAGTCCTCTGGCCTCCGTCTCCTTACCCTGTTTCTCTTATGCCTGACTTAAGTCTTCATTTAAAGGCTTAGGTGCCTTTATTCTGCTCCATGTGAAGTGGGTGAAGGAAGCCCTGTGGGAAAGTGGTGGGAGAAGGACTGCAGTGCTGCTGCCTGAGGCCAACTGTGAGGTCACAACATGTTTCCGGAGGCTCCAAGCGGCTATTCCTTCCTCTGCTTTAGAGGAAGGAACAGATACGTCCCTGTATCTACCCAAGCCATGCTTGCTATGATGCAGCAAGCTTCCCAGTCTCCTCTGCTTCTTGGAAAAGATTTCAAACTCATCCACATTGAGGTATTAGTGACCAAGGATAGCTTACATGGGGTCTTCCCTAGACCTAATGCTTAGAGTCCATATTAGGTGAGTCAGCTGATTGGCTTCCTTATTCTAGAAGTGAAGCCTCAGATCCTCCATATGGACTCCAGGGAGCAAAGGTATCTAGTCTTCAAGTCACACAGGACAGAGGCCCTGTTAATTATACACTAGGCATCCTTGAGTAGGTCATCTACCTTCCTGGGCCTCAATTTCCTCACCTGATTTTTATAAACTTGTACTTACCAGCTCACACACTAAGGTCCAAGGAGATAATATAGGTGACAGGCTCTCTGAGCCCTGAGTGCCACCTGAATATCATATCTCATGAGTGACTTGTGTAGACTTGCTCCATAGATCACATCTCTTTGCCCAGAATGTGAGATACCCAAGAGAGCCCTGATTCTAGGCCTGGCCTTCCTGAGAGAGCAATGTCCCTGCAGCAAAAGTGACCATCCCAGCTGCTACCTTCCCTTCTCATCTTGCTTCCTCCATTCTCTTCCAGGCAAGCCCAGAAAGGAGCCTGTTTATGTTATTAGCCAAATTATACCAGAAAGTCAAGAAGTCAGGAGCCAGGAGCAAAAAGTCAATGGCTTAGCCTGTGCTCATGGCCCCTGTCTAATGAATGGCAAAGACTTTGAAACTCTCAAGTCCAAATAGTCAACACAATTCCTGAGGCTGGCTGACTTCCCGCTTACTGTGAGTGTCCTGTGCATGCTAGACACACAATGTACACTGAGGATAGGGTCCCCAGCTTCAGGGAATCCCAAAGCATGGAAGGACACACATGGCCATTGCCCTTTTGGGGATCCCAGTCAGAAGAAGGAGGCAGAATATGCTCCCAGGCAACCCGTGATATGATAGGAAGATGAAGAATATGACCCTAGGAAGCTCTGGACCAGAGAGAAAAGACATTGTCCCCATTTGGGGGGAATTCCTAATCTGATGGGTGAGACAAGACCCATGCTACGGGGGGAACTCCCAGCCTCATATATGGCTGGAGCTCTTGACACATTGCTCATCTATGACCATAAGGCTTTCTTCCTTTTTTATTTTTTATTTTTTTGGCAGTGCTAGGGACTAAACCCAGGACTTGTCTATGTTAGGCAAGTGCTTTCCACTGAGATATATCCCCAGACCCCTTTAAAAAAAAGTTGCCCAGGCTGACCTTGAACTTGCAGTCCTCCTGCCTTAGCTTCTTGAGTAGCTGGGAGTACAGACATGTACCTCCACCAACCATAAGGCTCCTTATTAATACCAGTGTCATACATGATTGTGCTTTAATTGCACTTCCTGATAAAGTCTGGGTGGTCTCCAGTTGTCCTCCACAATGTCACAGCCCTCATCTGTAGTTGCTAGCAGTGAGCAGCATAGCACTACTGATTACAGTCAAGGTAAAAGGGGCCCAGATATAGGACATAGGATATAGGATGGCCATCACTGGCTGGGGAGGACAGGAAAGAGGAGGACACTCATCAGGCCTGGGTCATTGGCATCACTGGCCACATAGCTCTGAATGAGAGGGAGCCCTGCCTCTCCCCTAGAGGGTCAATTGCTCCAAGATGTTCCCTGGGGCAGGGGCTTCTCTTCTGCCTTCCTTGACCCATCCCCATAAATTCCTGATGAGGAGGGGCTCAAGCTGTAGAAGATGCATGTGCATCAGCACCCACTGGCCCCCTGCCCCAGGCTGAGAGCCCTCCTTCACATTCTGGGGCATAGGCTGGGAATTGGATTGTAAATTGGTGCAGCGTGCTTGGAAAGCAATCTGGTGCTTTGTAGCTAGCGCTGCATAGAAGTTCAGACCTTCTGATCCTGTAATCCGTCTCCTGGGAATTTATCCTGAATAATCATCAAGAGAAGCACAAAGCCATCAGCAAGATGGTGTTAGCTGCAGTGCTATCCATCACAGTAAAACAAAGCCACAACCCCAGCAACAAAGCACCCAAACTAAATAAACTCGACACTTCTAACAGGAGGGACTGTCTTAGCAAATAATGGTACATGACCTCTCAGGAAGATTTTGCAGTTGGAAAACATGTGATAATTGATATTTTATTCTACTGCATGTTTTTCCTGGTCATGATTTTTTTTAAATTTATATATTTTTTTCTGTTTTGTTGTCTTTATTCTTATAGCCATCTGAACTCCTTTGAGAAATCAGACAAGCTATAAATAAATTTAAAAGTGAACATTTCAAAGCTGATGCAGCAATATAGAGAGTGCTTATGACATAATTAATTTCCATGCTGTTCTAGCTATTGTATACAGATGATGAGGAATGAAAATGTGATTTTCCAGTTTCTCTACCTTCTCCTGGAAAGATGCCAGGGAGTTCCAGGTCCCCGTTGAGGTTGGGGACTAGGGTGGTGGGATCACTGTCTGCTTGTGTTCCAAAGGCCTCTCTGGAGATCATCCATGGCCCCTGGGGTGGATGTGACCAGCTCTGGAGATGCCAGTGCTGGGAACTGGGAGACTTGGGGCTGCTGTGGGCCCTGGCTCCTCTCTGAGCACAGCAGACAACTGGGGTTTGGGCATGGGTTGCTGGGCATCCACCCCCCTATCATGGGGTGGAAGACCTGAGGCCTTGCTCCCATTTTCCTGAACTACATAAAGCTCTGCAAGATTCTAAAGTGGAGGGAGGGATGGGAAACATAACCAATGATAGATTTCTCTCCTACTGTGGCACAGAGTGGGGTGACTCACCTTGATTTGATTCATAAAAAAACAAAAACAAAACACAAAAGATGAAGAACATAACAGAATTCAAGTCTTGAGTGATAGGTAGCAAGACATACTTGTTAAGTTATGTTAAGTGAAATAGAAGATGACAGAAAGACGAGAGTGTGATGTTGTTATGGAGGGTTAGATTACATGTGGGCAGGCCTGAAGGTGCTATCAAGCAAAAAGGTCTTCTGTGATGGTGCAGAGATGTGGGTATTTTAAAAATTATTCTCTAAGTCTTATTCATTCAAAAATTATTTTTTGAGGTTCTCACTTATTTCAGGCTTTGGGCTGGGATTTGGAGGTTCTAAAGGGAGCAAATATGTCAGTTTTTCCTACTCCCCATCCTAAATAAAATAATAAATCTACCAAATTCAAAAGCAGGGCTCAGTCACCATTCCCACTCCCCTGGCTTTGTCCATGGAATGCTGTTTGGCCTTGTGGGTGCCAGCCAGCACTGCAATACCAGGAGCTTTTCACTTCCTAAGCATCAAGAAATATTTCAGAAGCCATGTATCAGGGAGGCACAGCCAGCCATTTGTGCCTCTGGTTAACTTCATCTTGGTCCCCTGCAGAGGGATGGTGGAGGGGCCTGCTGCCTTGCAGCCTGGATCTAATTGCAAGTTGCACCTCCAGGAGGGGAAATGTATTTTGAAGTAACAGGGCTATTTCCCTTTCTGTCCAATTGTCAGAGAAGTAAACAGAGGGGGAGGGAAAGCAGGTAAATAGTATTTCTATTGCTGGAAGCTGTGGGAGCGCATCAGGAGGCCACTCAGTCAGACTGATTTGTGACTCCTAAATTGACAAGCCTCCCTGACTCCTCCTCAGCCACCCTCCCTGCCAAACCAGGCCAGGACAACTCACTGTGGCTGCATCAACTGGCAGAAGGAAGGGCAGATGTTGAAGAATTTCAGAAGAGCTGGAGGAAGGAAGGGGACGAGGTTTCAAAGTCACCTTGTCCCCCTATGCTAGCTGATCTGACCACTGAGGGGGACAGAGGGTAAGCAAGATTTGTAAATAATAGGCAGGCTCTGGGTTGAGGAGAGGGGCTATGCTAGGTGCTACCATCTTGCTGGCCCCCAATCCTCATGAGTGGCTGAGCTGTGTTTTGGGGTTTCTTTGTTTTTCAGGATGCAGTATGAGGCCAGTCACATTGACTGACTGTGATTCAGACTTCTGAGCACAGAATGCTAAAAGAGATGGCAAACACATCTTTCACTTAAATGCCTTCCATGGCTCCCTCCTGAAGCACAACACAGATGGTCCTGCAGGAGCTAGTCTTGTCGCCTTTCTTCACCAAGTTCTGCAGGAGAATGGGACACACCATCATCTCTCTCTGGAGGCCTTTGTGCCTGCTCACCTGGCTGACTCATGGTCAACCTAAGGGAACCAGCAGTGGGTTCCACCTCTGATAGGCCTTCCCTGACACCCACTGCCCCTGAGACTAGATTGGATACAACTTGTAACTCTTATGGGTGATAGAATACCCTTTTCTGTTCTTGTCACTTATGACACTAAGCTTCTCCAGTAGACTGTAAGCAATGTGTGGGCTAGGACCAAAGTGTTCTCACCTAATGCCTAGGCAGAGCCTAGCTCATGGGAGATGCTTATGAATATTTGTTAAATAAGTGAAAAAAACCAAAAGACCCAGGTCAGGCAAGTAACACCAAAAAAGGGGGGGCACAGATAGAGGGGCATTTGGAACTGACTCTGTGGCTCTGACCACATGCACAGCTGCAGTTCATGGACACAGCCATCCACAAGACTGTGAATGCCTGAACCATGCCCACTCCTTCTAATATCCACTTCATTCCATGCCCAGGGCTTCCATAAAGCCTAGCACAGAGAGAGGGCCCTGGAATTGGTGCTGCAAAAAGGTCAAAATGAACTGGAGGCCTATTGGTTGGTTGACTGATAGGACTATGCAAATGCCTTTGTCTCCTCTGCAAAGCCTGTTCTCAAAACAAAAACAAAAACAAAAAACAAAAAACAAACAAAAACAGCAACAAAAACCAGAAGCACCTAGAGTTCTGCTGCTTCTGTAAGGAAATGAGGACTGAGCTGACTTCTAAAGAGACTAACCACAGCACCTGCCTTTAGCTTTCTCCCACTTTGTCTTCTACTCACTGAAATCCTCTCTACCATTCAAGGTGCAGCCCAAGCCTTTTCTATGTTAATCTCTGTGTAACCTCTTTGGCCACTTGGGCTTCTTTCTCTGTGCTCTGCCATTTATACTGGCAGAGTATACTGGCTAAGATCCTCCATGAGTCATTGCACCTTGCTGAGCTTCTGTCCTTTCTGTTATACAATGGGACAGTAGAGCCACACACCTCACAAGTCGTAATGAGGATTAAGTGCCTGTCAGACTTGCTAGGCAGCCAGCACAGAGCTGGCCACACAGTTTGATACTTATTGTCACATGGTTCTATGCATGTGCCCTCTGACTTCTCAGAGAGCATAAACCAAAAAGAATGCAGAACATATCTTATGGTTCCCTGCATCATCCTGGTGCTCAGCACAGGATATACACCTCGCTTAGCATCCACCACGTCACTTACATCTGTTTTCCTTCAAAAAGAAATATAGATTCTGATGTTGGGAAAACTGTGTCTCTTTGCTTTTCAGTCTTCTGCGCCACCAGGATGCCACATATGGGCTGTCATCGACATTGACAGTGAGACCATCAGATAGAGTATCAGAGGCAATCTTGTCTGCCCTGCAGGCTTGAGTGCATGGCCAGTCTGGATGACCAGACTGAAAGCCCAGCAGGCATCCTCGGCTTGGGCCCCATCAGGAAACATGACTCCCAGGTTCTTCTGTGTTGCCAGGACCCCATGACTGGCGCCAGGGGTGAGAATAAGAGATTCCCATTACCTCAGCCTAATGACCTGTGTCTTGATCCCAGTAACAGGAGGAGGAAGTCCAGGAAGAGGCAAATGAGAACACACTGCAAACATGTGCCCATGACTGGGCAGTACCCCAACACACCCATCTCTCTCCCACTCCCAGGGCTGGTTCATGAGAAGAGACACATCTCTGGAAGGATGACACATTGAGCAAACAGAGCCCACCTTTCAGCGCTCTACCTGAAGGACATGAGAACTTATTCCTTCCAGCTAGTGTGTGTTTCCATCGTTATCCAGCGCCCTCTCCACCACCTTTCCCAACCTCTAGCAATCACTATTTGTCTTTATGTGTCTGGCTTATTCTAGTGCCCAGTGGGGGGACTATAGTTCACATTAATTATCAGGATTTTACCGGTATACATGGTATCCACCTATCAAAATTATCACACTGTACCCCATAAGTACAATTAAAATAATAATTTTAAAAATACCTCCTTGAGGCCTCTTCCTTTTCTCTTCCTTTCAGAGGCAAACCTAACTGTTCTCTTTGTACCTCTAGGACACCTGGATAGGTTCAGAGCCCTGCGAAGGCTCCTGCTTGGTTCCAGAGCCCCCTGCCCCTTCCAGAGTCATCTTAGCTCTTGACAAAATGAAGTCTCTTTCCTTACATCTTCTTGGTCACAAAGCCATGTTTTGTCTTTTGAGGGTCCCATAGGGACAAGTGAACCTATTTTGATGGGCTAGCCAAGGAACCTAGGCATTGTAGGATGTTGTTTACATAGGAAAACATGTCCCACGTTATAGTTTGGAATCCACAAATACACCTAGAAATATACATCTCCTAGGAGCAGTCAAAGTAGCAGCCACCTACCCCAGGTTGCATTTCCTGAGATTCTCCTACTTTGCTATTCACTGTGCCTAGAATTTTGAGGACCCAATGCTACCATGTACCTTGCTGCTTCCCTTCCCGTTGTCCATGTCAGCAGTGGTGATCTTGCCTCACCTCACCCTGCCACGTTGTTGCTGGGAGAAGCCCCTTAGCTGCTGGGAGACGCCTACTCCCACCCCAGCAGCTGTTCTCACAGCTGAGACTGACTGTCAATCAGATATCTCTAACACAGGGGGCTGTATGCAAGAGTGAGGGTGCTGTTAACCCAACCAGCCCAGAGACAAGAAGTTGAACTGACAGAGAGGGAAGACATGGGCTTGGGCCTGGAGGCACTGACTTTCCTGGGTTCCCAGATGTTCCATCCAATTTCTCTTGTCTCATGGAGTGTTTGGCCCCTCTCTGAGCATCACAGGGTTGAGGATGAGGATAAGGAGAAGAGATTAGAAACCTCAACTGTCTTGGTGAGGAATCCAGTAAGCATGGGCTGCCTGCCGTGCTCACAGCTTCATTCTGAGAAAATCAGATAGGTCCTAGCAGGACTTACTGTGTAAATATACTATTATGATTTAGATATGATATGACCCCTGCCAAAAGCTCACGTGAGATAATACCAAAACATTCATAGAAGAAATTATTGGGTTATGAGAGCCTTAACCTAACCAATGTATTAATTCATCGATTGGGAATAACTGGGAATTGGGAATAACTGTACGCAGGTAAGGTGTGGCTAGAGGAGGTAGGTCACCAGGGACATGTCTTTGGGATATATATCTTGTCCCTGATGAGGAACAGTCTTTCTCTGCTTCCTTGTTGCCATGTCCTGAGCTGCCTTCCTCTACCACACTCTTCTGCTGTGATGCTCTGCCTCACCGCAGGCCCAGAGCAATAGCATCAGCCATGGACTGAGACCTCTGAAACCATGAGCCCCAAATAAACTCTTCCTCCTCTGCTGTTTTTTATTGGGTCTTTTGGTCACAGCAATGAAATAGCTGACTAAAACATGGCTTGTACCATGCTTAGTGGATGGCCTCACCACTGCTGACTGGAGTGAGAGCCCTGCCCAAGGCATAGGACATCCTGGTCTGGCTGGCCCCTGGGGTGCTCAGTCCAGTTGTGCCCTGCAGTAACCCTTGTGTTGAGGGTGGTCACCTGACAGCATGAACACCAGGAGCACACAGATGACCATATCATTCTCCATGAGGCTTGCTGTATGAGTTTATCTGGAAGATATTCCCAGCATATCCTCCATTAGTGCCCGCTCTGCCATCCCCATAGGTGTGTCTCTTCCCATTGTACCAAAAAGAAACAATTTTACCTGGGGGAGGTGGTCAGCATGGACCAGCTCTCCTCATTTCCTCTTCTATTCCCACTCCTGTTATAGCCTATTCTAGATTGTTTCTCTTCACCTAAAAGTCACTTGCAATACCCTCGCATTCACCCATGGAGGTCCCTAGCACTCTGGAAAATAGCAAGAGAAGACTTCATAGGGTCTAGTCTGACTCATGCTGCTAACCTAAGGAGTAACTTCAGGAACACAGTCCTCCCTGGGCCTCAGTTTCATCTGTAAAATGGTTGCCCAATGTGCAGAGAGCATTTTCCATTTACTCTTCTTGCCATATTCTATGCGGGATTCCCACAGATCTGTGTTCTCAAATCCTCTCTTCGGGTTTGTTAATTCATTTAACCTGTCCATTGAATTAGTTTTTTCTTTTTTTCCTCTCCAGATTATTTTACTGGGCCCTTCTTACACATAATGGCTTTTAAACTGGAGCAGTCAGGGAACCCAAGTGAGGTCTGCCAGTTGCTAAATATCCACACTCCACTTATGCAATTGGGGGGTAACTTCTGTGGGGTGAGTTCTTGGAGCCATGAGACCAACTGTGAGACAATCACCTGACCTCCACGTGCCCTCATTCTGTCCAGGGGATCATTGTTCACTGAATTCATCTCAATAATGAGAAGTTTAAATTCTGGAAGTTCTTTCTATTCTTTTCCCCTGATACTTCCCCCCCGTGTTGCCTTGTTGGTTTTATACCTTCTTTTAGCTCTTTGGTTATATTAAATACATTTATTTTATTGTCTTGTAGACTATTCTATCATCTAAAAATATTGAGAGACTAACTCTTCTATTTTTTGAACCTGCTGATTCTCATCTTAGTGCTACATTTTCTCTTGTGGCTTTTTATTTCCTTATTATTAGTTCATCATTCAACAGGAGTGATTACCATAGCAGTTCTATAGTTTCTGTAAAGTGGCTTTTATATACAAGTTTATCAGTTTTGATTTTTTTTTCTTGGATTAGGGTTCAAATCACTTGATTAGTATAGCTTTAGTCCCTATACCTGTGAGTCTCTCAAACTTGGGCATCTGAACTCTAAGAATACCTTGCCTCTTCTTTTTCATGGCCCCAGATGAATGGAACCTTCCTCTTAGCTTCCCCAGGGCCGTGGCAGCTCAGTCAGACTTGCTAAAAAGTCCTCACATTTAGAAGAATCAGAAACTGTTGTTATTTATTTGCTTACTGCTCCCTGTCAATAACATATCAGGTCTATGAGGAATGAGGCCTCATCTGTCTTTCTCACTAGTGTATTCTGAAGGTCAACATGGTGTCTACTCAGCGGGCTCTTGGTACATGTCTGTGGGATAAATGAATGAGAGCTGTGTGATTTCTGGGGGCTCAGCTACCACAGTCTGTTGGAGATCCCCCTGGGCTGGATGACCCCAAACCCTCCCACTTCTGTCACCATCACACCTCACCCAAGCCTATCCTTGCATGTAGGCAGCAGCACCCAGAGCTGGCCTGTTGGGTGGACTCACTGGAGATGGAGGTGTAGACAGCAAAGGCCCGGAGGCTGGTCATCTCCTTCCTGCGGGTCATCTCCACTCGTGTGCAGAAGATGTTCTCCCAGGCATACAGCTTGAGCAGCTTGATGCCACGAAGCATCTCATTGGTCTGCTTCAGTCTCTCGTTGGAATATTCCTGAGGGAGTCAGTGAGTCAGAGGGAGAAGCCTTTATGCCCACCCCACCCAAGAGAGAGGCACTGAGTCAATGTCCTCATCCTTCACCCAACTCCTGTTCCTACAGGGACGCTCTCTGCTGTTTCCTTTAATCCCATTTCACAGATACAGAAGCTGAGGCCTACAAGTGAAGTGTCCTACCCAAGGTCAATGACAGTGTGGGTGTGGAAGAGGGGACCCGCTGATGTGAGGGTAGGGGAGGAAACAGACATTGAGGAAGGGTGGGGAAGGGGACCTTTGGACACTCACCAGTGTGCTCCGCTGGGCTTGGGAGAGTTTGGTGGCCACAAAGTACTGGACAGGGGCCAGTAGAATGATGACAGCTGCTCCAATTAAGGCACTGACCCCAAGGATGTAGTAAAGGAGAATCACACCCACGATGATCTGGGGGAGGGTGGCAGGATGAGTTCTCTGACCTAGAGGCTGCCCTGCCAGGGGACAAAATTCCCTTCCCCAGTTCACTACAGTGGGACAAGCCTTGGTGCCCAAGTTTCCAAAAAGTCTTGGGAAGAGAGTGGGGCATGGGAGGATGTGTGACAAAGCACTCTCAGAAGGAAGGATCAACATGATGGGCTCTCACATGAGCCATTTCTGGGCTGGTAACTAACTGCATTACCTGCAAGGCTGCCTCACTCTCAAGCCTATTTTCCTGATGGAAGGGTCGGAGCTGACACTGCACCGGGAGCAATAACATGTTTTGTTCTTTGTGCTGGATACTGAGGCTGACATTTTACTCTCATTGGAAAAAGGTGATCCCTGAACAAAGGTACAAAATTGCAGCATCCATGATGCAGACAAAACCAGCCCTTGGTGCAAGGGACTGTTTTTCACTCTCATGCTTTTGGTCTCTTTAAATTTTTAGTGAAGCTGGCAGATATTCTTTGATAAGAGAATTCATTGTTTCTAGATTTATGTAAATGACTGCCTGCTTGTGAATATTTATGAGAAGGGTAAATCATTCTCACCAGTCCCCAAAGCACCAAGATGACAGTTTCCCAGGTCGCCATTAAAGGCAGGCACTTCGTTTATAGATACAGGGCATACTTTAGAACATATGTGCTAGCTTCCTTAGTTGGAAAGAAAGAAGAAGGATAAAAAGTCACCTGGGTTGGCCCTGCAGTCCCTGAGCCCTGCACAAGACTAGCATTGAGCTCCCTGCACCACCCTAAGGTTGGAGTAGGTGGCAGTTCTGCAATTTCCATTAATCACAGAAAGCCTCCTGCAATAGCAGGTGTCCGA